CCTATAAGTACTTACTATAAGATTAACATCTTGGGTATTGTTAATTGAGTACTTGGTAACAATAGAAAATAGACTATTGTCTCCAGATGTCGGCCCAAATTTGGAGGGAGATTCAAATTATTTTCTTTGTTCAGAGCGACACCTCCGTTGCACTTTAATGATTTCTTATGCTCGAACCTCTTAATAGGATAGACCTACTTTTTTCTCTGAAGATTCGTGTTCAAATTTTTGCCGATGTATCTCTTGGGTTAATCTTACGTCTAATTGTCATTGTCTTCAATAATTCTTACTCTTGCTTATAGCCCAGTTTACACTGGTGCCTGGTCAGGAAATGGAGACAATGGGTGATCAATATTGGTCCAATATTACTGATGCTGCTAGCTGTGCTGATCTATGTATTACAACACCTGATTTTGTCTGTAATAGTTTCGACTTCTGCACAGCTGATAAGAAAGCTTGTCATCTCAGTAAACGTCACGTTACAGATGGATCTTTGGTTCTGAAACAGAGTGTTTGTAATCATTATTCCAGTAAGTCAATCCAAATGATCATTTGTGTAGGAATTTATACAAGGCTGATAATCTTAAAAAAATTACCATTCCTGTCTTGATAAAGGTGAAGAATGACAAATTCTAATGTCTGGAATAGATTTGTAAAACTGCTGCAGCTTATGGATAACGATTTGTGGTGGAATCAATTGGTAGCTTGTCAGAGAACATTTCTTACTTAGATATGATCAACATATTACAGCTTTACAGCTACTTACTACTTCTATTGCTTCAAAATTCAAGTTTTTCCTAACTGCTTTCAGGAACAGTCAATGTGTCAACTGTGGATACAAAATCTATAGACTTAGCTTACAGTGATCTGAAAGTACAACTGTATGCTGGTGGATTGGAAGTAGCTATTAATAAAGATGATGAGAGTGTTAGTATATTTTCTTCTTGTTTTTCTAAACATTCTAGAACGTGACGACTGCATAAATTTAATTTGATTTGATAAATTTGAATGGTATTGTACATCACCCTTTTGATATATCCAATTTAACAATTTTGTATTTTGGGGGTAAAAACACAATCGTTCCTTGCAGGTGGAAGATTTTATGGCTGTGGATACAAAGGTACTTTTTGGTAAGTCGTTTTGATACTCATTGATTTTCCAGTCTTATGCCAAAAAAGTCTTGCTTTTCTGAATCTGATTGAGTTAATTGAAACGTCCAAAACTCTTTTCATGAAAGTTCTGGACAGGATAGAGGAAACTCTGGATCCATATCATACATCATTAGAAACTATTATGATTTTAGGTTATAGTGAACAGATTCCATTTCCATCAATAGCTAATAGTTTTTCATATCGTGCTGAAGTGGTTATACCATCACATAAATATGTCACAGAAGTCGATGTAAGTCAGTATTCCAAATACTTGTTGCTTTTTATATGCAATTTGAAAATATTGCAAAGTTATAAGAAAATAGTTATAAGTAAAGATACTGAATTATTTCAGGTGTTTTATGATTATGATTATAAGTTGTTAAGATATGATTATAGAATACCAACTCAACTCTTATACCGCCTTATTTTCTATAAAAAATACTGAATTATTTCAGGTGTTTTATGATTATGATTATAAGTTGTTAAGATATGATTATAGAGGAGGAACTCCTTTTCCACCGTATTATTCATTATTTACATTGACAACCATACACGATTTCAATACAGGTAATGTTGCCTTGTCTTTTACCACCATAAACTTTGTCAAATGAGACTTTAAACGTGGGATTATTGAAGTCCTTATGTAAGAAAACTGAAATTACATAATACTTTGGCGACGCCAAGATTACGACTTGAAACATGAATGTGTACAATGACCACAATAATGTTCGTTCTTCATCAACAAGAAAGATTTGGTTGGTTGTGTTTTTGTGATCATTGTTCAGGAGAGATTGTTTTTTTAAAAGATTTTAGTGTTAAATGACGTCACTAATCGCAAATTATAATTAATCACATCACATTTAAGCCATTGCGATTAGTGACGTCATAAAACTTTAATTTTAGTGGAATTGAAGGAACCCCAGACGTCTGATTGTAAAGTGGAATGGTGCAAATTGGTGCTTTCAGTGTCCCGATACACATAGAAATTTAGAAAACCTCTTCCAAATCTCTTTAATATGATGTTCCACTTATATGTTACTCAGGCACGTTTCTTGCATCTACATCTAATTGGTTGGTTAAACCTTTTGTATGAACTTTTTTCCCTAGGTTTAGCCTACGTTATAGATCAGGAATATTTGAACTGCACCGTTAGTCAAATAACAGCCAAAGGACCTCTAGGTTTTGATGCTGAATTAGATCCAAAAGCACAGAAATATTATAATGGTTATGTCGTGGATATGAAGTCACCATTGGAATTCTTTGGCTTAACTAGTAGTTATACGTTTATTGGACAGGTAATGTTTTGAAGTCGGAGGTGTCATTCTTGGGGGTCCAATAACGTTGGATAAATTGAAGTTGGAAAGTCAAGCTAAAGTCCGAACTAACCACGATATCGTGGTTTTGATGGAGATAAATTTTGCTAGTGTAGTTCGATAGAGACATTTCTGACCACAACTACTTTTGATATGAAATGGCCATTGTGAATGTAGCACATTTGCAATTACAGAGAAAAAGCAGAATTTATATTTGCTTTTTCTGCTAATAACACTCAATTAGGACACTATTCAACTTAAAAACTGGACATTGATTGCGATTTATATAAAGAGACGATTTTGATTACAAAGCGATATCTACACTGTTCTTCATTACATTGTAGAAAACAGTACGAGGTATATTATGTGATGTTTTTGAAGGTGAAGTCAATAATTTTATACCACCTGGTTTAAATGATACAGTTAAAGCAATCTTCCAGTACTATTTTCAGTCAGTAAGTAGTTGCCTACCACTCCATACCCCTAACTAACTCTCTGGTATTGTCCTTTGTCTTACAAACATGCATTCGGTTGGCGATTGGTATAATAATCCCTAAAATAAATTCTTGGAAAACACCTGATGCCGTGTGGTATCACTTTTTATAAACTACTGTTCGATTACTATTGATGGTTCATTTCTTCTTAGGCTTAAAATTTGATCTAGAACTCTACTAGTAATATCATAATTTAATGTTTTTCAACAGTCTGGTTAACGGACGGAAATTGGCAAAGTTATTTTAATTGAATTGAAGGAGAACCAGGCTTTTAATTCTAAAAACGAATACATAACTTAAAACGTATTTATTTACATTGACGAATTTATACCTTGGAATTGTTTCTTTATATTTTCAGGGCAGTTGGACTACTATAACAGATGGTAGTACTGATGTACCAAGGTCAATGCCAATTCTGTTAAATGTCGTGACAGAGGAGGTGAATATCTTACGCAATAAGTATCATTATCTTTTTAATAAAGTTTTGAAAATAAAACAGAACAAAACGTGCACGCAAAAAATTGCACTCTGTCCATCGAATCGACCATGGATTATCGATATTGGCTATGGTTTTTACTTTGTACCTTCCACGAGATTAAACAAACATTATTTCCATTCTGTAAGCCCTGGTGCAGCTCAGAACAAGTCCATTTATGAGAGTGACAAAGAGCAAGATGTTTGTAATTTTTCAAATAGTATTGTATTAAATGTTATATCTTTTAGAATGGATACACAATGTCTTATAATATTTATGATTATAAAGATGAACATGTTCCGATGGGAACATTTAATATTCAACCCTGTTATGATGGTGGTCAACAACATCGCTTTATGATAGCTTTTAATCGTAAGTTGTTGTAGTTGTGTATGATAATATATACAGTGGTGTAACCTATTTTCGTTGATATAAGGATTCAACACCGGATTTCGTCAAAGTTAAAAAAGCGATTTTTTTTTATGTCTTAGATGTTTCTTCAGATATTCTACAAAATAATTAAAATTGGTTTGTTTCGAGTTTCTTTATGAATCATTCACTTTGACCCACATTTCATGAGCAATCCACTCGGCAACGGCGGCAAAATGCGTCACATATTTTCGCGTACAATGTTTGATCTATAAATAAGTCTAGAAAAATACGTTGTATGGATACCGGGTGGTATAATTAACTTCTTTTAGTATTTATCTTTGATATCAATTCATTATAACTAGTGACAATTCCTTCAAAGAACCCCGATTTAAAAAAAAAAAATAGTGACTGACAAAATAAGATACGTAGCGTGGTTTATTGCTAAAAGTCACTGAAACAACATAAGAATATAGTCTACTTTGTGTTCCATAGAAATTTTCTGCTGACACGAAATCAGCTAGTTGATCATGTGACTTCATTCGTTGGACTACATTCTAGCAGACGACACTTGGAATCCGCTTGGGATTATAAGGAAATTCGGCCGATAAAGAAAAAGGTGACGTTTGGTATTAAGTGAAATCCGCCATTTTGTATTTGTCAAAGTATACATTAATACAGTTTACTTTGCTTGAAACTACTGGATTCATTCTACTAGCTGATATTGTGCAGACAATCCATGTTTATCAAAACAACCTAATGCGGAGGTCGCACATGGTCGCTCATGTAAATTATTAAACATTTCCGGAAATCCACGAAAAATTGGTTACCACGAAATTAGGTTACTTGACTGTACATGTAATATATACACCTGTTTGGAGTTTAAAGAAAATAAAAATTTGACTGCAACAGTACTGTGGCCTAGAATCGAACCATGATAAGATAAGTGCCCTAGATTAGTAAATTATATAATTTCCCTTAATAGCATTGCAAACCTGGATAGAGCAACTTGAACCCTTAGATTGCTAGCTCGCAACCCGTTATGATCAAGTATGAGGCTGGGTGACAGAAGCTATAATACAAGTATTTACATAAGCACGGCATGCGGCATGCGACTTTCGCTCTTTAAGACTTTGTTATACATTTTATTTTTTATCATCTTCTTCAGAGCCTTTCCATCCTTACTTAGAAGTTAGACAAACTCTCTTTAAACATGAATCTCTGTTCAACTTGGCTCAGGTTACTGGTGTTTCACCAATTAGATTTCAAGACATTCAACTAGAGTATAGTTTTAGTTCTGTATTTTTTACGGCAACTGTTCTTGACCAACTTGATTTTATCTGTAAGTGAAGAATTTACCTAAATTTGTACGATTATAAATATAATGAGAGAATGAGAATCCAAAGAAAGTCATTTATCAAACACAAATTCAGGACGTCATCAAGTATTAACCATCAAAACTAAAAAAAATGTTTTTTCCCAACTTTTAAGACTTTTTAACAACTTTGATACTTAAAGCTTTTGTTCGGTAACCTAAAGCCAAAAGCCAGGGTCGAAGTCAAATATTGATACATAATATGAAGGCTTCTAAATCATATAAACTGAGTATATTTATAGCTACCTTATCAACTCTGAAATAAGCATATCTGGAAGATATATACATAGCTACATAAAACCGATACGTTTCTTCATTTTACGCTATCTTTCCAACGGGTCTAGAACATGGATTATTTTTTTTAGAGTGGATAACACATAAACAATGTAATATCTCCACGCTCCACAATTATAATTCATCCATTCCGGCACGTTATTAAATAAGATGTGTCACTTTAAACTGGATATGATTGTTAACATTGGACATGGGATGAAGAAATAAAACAAAAAATGACTTTGCTTGTTTAGCATTATCTATAAAACCTTATATTCTATATTCATTCATATTTCAGATCAATTTAAACAAATCACAGGTGGAATACCAGTAGAGTATAGTGAAGTTAAGATAAATGATATACAGTATGCGCCTGATTGTGCCTCACAATGTATAAACACTTTACAAATTATATGTAATGGATTTGATTTCTGTTCCAAGAATACACAATGTCTGTTACATTCAGATCACGTATCTACTGTTACCACTGTTACTCAGAAAGCAAACCAATGTACCCATTGGTCAAGTACGTTGAGTTTCTTATATCCCATTTTTCTACATCATTTCAACAATGAAGTAAACAATTATATATATATATATATGCTGCTATCTATATAATATTCATATTTGTTTTCTAAATCTTTTTGGTATTTCGTTTCATCTGCTGTATTTTAGGAGTGTTTTCTCTTTGTTATTGTTTTGTAAATTGTATAAGTAATCTTAAGTGTAATCTTTAGTATGTAAATGCTTTGTAGGATTAATCAATGGTACTGCACCAGGAATATCTATGAGACATGCCTATGATGTTATCAAAGATATGGTTTATAAAGGTTTATTTAAGGTCACTGTTCCTCAACTAGCTGGTGATGTAGGTTTTATATTTTATGTTTTCAAATATATACCGACTATTTTTGTGCCTAATGGTCCTCGCCAAATTTGTTAGCTTCTTATTATATATTTAAACAGCGCACCGAGTTGGAAAATGGACTCTTTCGATCAGAAACCCTCTTAACGGGACAAAACAAAATGACTTGCGAGGAAAATGAGACGTGTCTCTCCTAGGAGAGATTTGAAGGGCCGAGCCCCTGGAGCCCAGGCTTTCGGAATCAATAGACTTAAAATGGCCTTAGATGAATTTTGAGTATTTAGAGAGGTTAATTTTCACTTCAAAGGAGACATTTCACAGGCATAGACATATTTGGTTATATTGGCTGATATTTCTCAAATTCAATTGTTTCATATTTTTGATTTTCGTTTAAGCCATTTGTTTATACAGCATCAAATATTAGAGATGATATAAATCAACCTTATTCACCAATTGCGACCGAAGGTTAGTGGAACAACATGTAGAGATATGTATATATTCGCCAATTCTCGGTTCAACTCAAGGCAATCGTCATCATTATTTTATTCTCAAAGTTGACGCTTATTCTGTTATCTGTTAGCTGGAAACTTCAGCGGTCCTGCGACAGGTGCGACAGGTGACACAGCTGACAACCTCCGCGTTACATTATTCTGCTATTTTTACCTTTTAGGGGAGTTTCCATTGCTTATATTGTTTTTTTGTTGTTTTTGTTTTATTAATTTAAGAGGTGATAATGAAAAAGAGCTAACATAATTTATAGAATTATTTAGAAAGGTAATATTTTGGAAGATTCTATTTTGAATCCACAATAAAGATTAAATACATCACAAGTATATCGCACGCTTTATTGATAGTAGAATTTGTTTATAGGAAGTTATCTAAAACAGTTCAAAGTAGTATCAGGACACAAAGTCTTAAAGAAATATGTTGCTAAAGTACCGCAAACGGCTGTGGATGATTGTGCTACTATTTGTGCTACGATGGATAAATTTACTTGTCAGTCATTTGAATATTGTTATACGACTGGAGACTGTTCACTGAGTACAATTCATCCCGATCAACACCCTGAATTACTACAAAGAAATGATTTCTGTGATCTTTATGGCAGTAAGTTATAATTCAGTTATTTATTTCATTGCATGCTTGTGATTATTGTCTGTATGAAAAAAACAGCCCATACACGCACGCTCAAACTTTTAAATTGATCGGGGGGAGGGGGGATTGTCCAAAACATCTGCCTCTATTATTCCAGCAACTGATAGTTGTCAGCTGGAGTAGAGTCAGAAAGAAGACCCTGTTAAATGGTGGCATTCCACACCTCCTAATATGCGTTTTTTCTAACATAATATTAAATTACCTTTACGATGATCGTACATTAGTGTTGGGCATCACCTTAACTTTCTTTTTGTTACTATCATGTGACTCTGTGACCTTTGAATTTTTGGCTGTGCATGCAGATTTAAATGAGACGTCACATAATGGTGTAGGGCGAAAATGATGATATAACTGAACTTTTCAAATAGATCCGAAGTACCTAAATAGGTTTAAAACCCGCACCTTTGGAAATGTGGAATGTTCCCAATTAACGGGGCTTATTTTTCTGTCTTTTTTCAGCCAATATCTTTTCAAATAGCTATCAGAGGCCGGGATGAAGACAAAATGTTTTGGCCCAGGGGGGATAACTGACCCTTGTAATTCGGCGAAGCAGAAATTTTTTTCTGACATTCCTATTATTTACGCCTCTCCTAGAAGGAACATGCATTTTCAGTGACACCCTGGACCACTTGATCGTCCATTGAAAAAGAGTTAGTTTAGCTTGGTGAGGATACGATTTTTTTTTTTGACTTGGAAAACCCCTAAAATCAGAAATGAGGCAGTTGAAAGGGGGCCGATGGGAAGAGTGGAAGGGGGGTGGTTGGGTAGGGCAGGCGGTTGGCGGTGGCGGCGTAAGGGAGGTGGAGGGTAGTGGCGTAGTGATGCCCTGGGCTAGAGCATTTTATTTCATCCAAAATCTGGCACTAAATCTGACTACGAATTCGTGATCTACGATTTTTTCCGTTAAAACAGGACCGTGTCTTCCGGGATTTGAATTTCGATTGAGAGACTTTGCACTCAAGAGTTCGAATTTCCGAAAAAATTATTAAAATGTCAAGCAGAAAACTAAGCGGAAAACATGACACTTTCGTGAACAATGATTCAATTATAGAATCTACATGGCATATTTACTCACGTTAGTTTCTTTAGACGCGACTGTATGTCAATATATAAGCCGAAAATTGTCCCGAGATAAAAAAAAAAAAATGGCGACTGTCTTCGGTTTCATTTTCAGATCATAGAACCCTTTTTACATTTCATTTTATTACCGCCTTCATTTCCTAATTTTAGATTGATCCCCCTTTTCCCTCCAGGATCAACGCCCTTGCGTGTATGCATGGGCGATATTGACGCCTTAATAGTGTTGATGTCAATATATTGACGGAGTTGTTTTTAGTAGATATTTTTGCGCAAACCATAAAAAATATTGAGGTTGTAGTAGGAAAGTCAAACTGTCAATATTTTAGATCAATCCTATTGATGTAAAATTTGAGCGTGTATGTGCCGCTTTAAGGTCACGCAAGTCAAAACTTCAGGTACAGAAAACAGTGTGATTTTACTGCGGCATCATTATTCTTGGACTAATTCTTACCTTTTCCGCTCAGAAATAACTGTAAGAAAATGAAAAAATATAGGCAGAATATAAGCCACATTTTCCATTCTTTCAGAACAATATGTTAAAGAGTATCAACAGTTTAAAGGACAAGTGTTGTCAACTCAAGCAGATAAAATATTAGACAAAGTAACTACAACAGAAGACTGTGCAGCATACTGCTCTAAAGAATCTACTTTCTCCTGTCTATCCTTTGATTACTGTGCCAAAGATCGATCATGTCGTTTGAGAAAATCTCACATACTTGATAGTGGATCGACCATAACAAGTAGCACTACATGTGATCACTATTCCAGTAAGTGTTTGTGTATATCTATATAATCTGTTATCCCTTTATACGTGTACACAATATGGAAATGTACCAAATATGTAATTTTGTTTATGCATAACTAACTACAAAATCAAAATTGTTTCAACATCATTACACTCATAATTATCGTTTGTTTAGAAAAATGTTATTTTTTTTTCTTTTAGGAAATTACGTATTCGACTTTCAAGATAAGGGCGGACGTCTAGATGCCGATCCAAATGACGTCATAATAAATTCGGCTACATCTCAGTCCTGTGCCAAACTGTGTGTAGATCAGTCTGGAGTACAGTGTAATAGTTTTGAATATTGTGGTAATATAACTCAATGTAGATTGTCATCCAGTGTATCAATTGGTTTTAAAGTAGAAAAAGATTTCTGTGATGTATATACAAGTGAGTGTTATTGTAGAATGTACGGTTTTAAAGTTAACATAAGTTTGTTTTTGTGTTCTCACTTGTATCTACCAGTATGTCAGATTTCCTTGCGACTGACCAGAGTACCAGATTATTTTGTTAAATATTACAAATACCAAGCCAAATGGTAGTTACGATAGCCTACTGACGTTGTTACTTGTCAGGTGACCACAAACGTCGGTCGGGTTATCGGAGTGGCGAGAGTGGAAGGCCTTGATCGAAGAAGATAATTTGTTGATGAGGCTAGACCACTCCGTCGAATAGGGCGTAAAAAGGCGGTAAACTATACATTGATTCCTTTTGTTTTCAGGACCAAAATCATCAACAATAAATACTTCAAATAGAGCAAAACCAAATCTAACTTCAAAAGACAAAAATAATACAAGCACAGGTAAGAATCATATAAGGGAAAATTCACAACGAAAGTAAGGTGTCAAAAATCTAAAAGACTGGTCTCCAGCAAGCATTCCCTGAGTTTTTCATGGTCACGTCACATTTTGTAAACAAATGAATGTATCTTGTCAACGTATTGTGTATCTTTCAGGTGCAATAATTGGTATAGCGTTCGGAATGTTATTACCTGGTATATTAATTGGTGCTTTAGGACTTTATATATTCCAAAAACGAGAGAGAAATTCCAGCCCGATGAATATTCAGTTTATAAAACACGAAGATGAATGAAATGGAACGGATATGATATTTTGTGCAATAAATATTTATTACTTTTTTGTTTTTTTCCTATTGATTACTTTTAAATTCAGTCCTTTGTCCAGAAAGAATTTCTTTCTAATTTACTTCTATGCCTGATTAGTGTACAAAATTACATATAGGTTCATGGTTAAAAACATAGTGATGTCGAAAGATTACATTAAAGAAACTGTCGTAGCCAAGAAATTAGTACATATATATAGGAAGTAAGATTGCAACCTATCGATGACACCAGTTCCATTTTTCTGCACAACTAAAAACAGAAATAATTGCACCACATTATTAAGGGGGTTCTGCTAGCTAGCACAATTACACTACCTATAGAAAACATATGATTTCATGATTCTAACGAAATGCTTAGACTTACTTGTTTAATCTAGGAACAGACATTTTCTTCAACGGATAAAACAAAGACAAAACTTCTTCCATGTGAGTGAGTATTCAGTTAACATTTTTCTCAGCATAGCAGAATGATCAGGGCCACAGTAACACAATATGGAGGATAACGTGGAACACAATAAACATCTATAAGTGGGTCATGGATTCACCAGACATTGGAACAAGATGGATTGTCCGCGCACTAAAGGAGTGAAAAAGGAGATATGTCTCCACACATAAAAATGGGACACATGCAGACATGAAATAACAATTTATCAAAACATAAATAGTAATTTATTCACACTGTCATTCATTTCATAAAAATAAAGTACAATCTATTATCACAGGGCTTTAGGGACATTTGTAACATTCTGATCTATTACTCAAATAAAATAAAAGATAGCTTGCCACCAGCTGTCAGAAATGAGCATGTCTTTAGTGGCTTAATAATGAATTTTCAATTTCGATTTTCATTTAGATGTGGGCGTATAAAAACAGTTTAGAAAATAAGCATAGTCCAGTTTTACTTTTACATCCAGTCGGAACAACATTGCAAATTGTGGTTTAATTGAGGTAAGAAATTGAAAACAACACTACGTTACCAACAAGCGATAACTTCGTGACTTAAAGGAATACGATGGAAATAAAATCTCATATTGTCGTGCGATAATATGTACATTGAAATAATTCACTCTATTACAATAAATAAAAATTAAAATTAATTAACAAACATAAATATAAGATTTTGAACTGTCATTTCATGTTAGTGGTCATGAAGGACGGATATTATACAGAATGATGTTTAGATGCAAAAAGTTTACAAACCAGCACTTTGATAAAAACTATTGAAGAGAATATTGTATCTTTTTTTTAACCGCGGATAAAATTTAAGTTGCTTCCAAGATTATTCGAGATTACTTTTCCATTTCATTTTCACTCGAAATAAATTTCTTCTAATAAAAACAGATTTTGACTTCTCAGAAATGAAAATGGGTGTAAAAATAATGACCATGAAACCAAAGTGGCACATTTACTTGATAATTGTGTTCACTCTGAGCATGAGTCTCTACCGGTATCACCGACAGAGGGGTTCCGAATTTGGCAAGATTCTCCAACGTTGTCTTTCAATGTATATAAGTTAAGAACATATATGCACAATATCATCAATAGTTAACTAAAATCATAGCGGCATCAAGAGCCAACCCTCGGTAACCCCTTCTTCCTTATTGTTGGTGGGGTATAATCTGGTGGCGGTATATAAATTGTGTCAATATCATCATCATAATCTCTTACATAGCCCTAAAAATAGATAATATATACATTTATTATTCACAAACAGCTTTTTTAGGTAAACATTTCTTATAATATCCATTTTGTCAAAATTATGAAACCATGCATGATAATATGTGAAAATAATCGTATGTTTAAGGAACTTTATTTTGAACATGTTTCCTTCATTATTATTTGAATGAATTAAAAAGTTTTAATAATTTTTGAAATATCGCGTTCTTCTGATATAAGCTACACAATGATCAAGCAATCAAACTAGCAAAGACAAACATTAACAAGCATAAAAGTCAAATGAAGAATAATTATATAAAATCAATCAACAAAAGAAAATTCAAAAAACATAAAAAGGATAGTCAGTGTCGTTCTTTAGGAAACATTAATTGAGCAGAGGCCACGAATTTTTAAAGCCGGACAGACTCTTTAAGAGGGAGGGGGGGGGGGGGGGGATATTACCCTCGCGGCAATAATAAGTTCGAAAATGAAATGAATATGAGACATCATACTTATATTTGATCCCTTTCAGTTCAGTCAAGTGCCATTGCTCAAACACTGTCAAAATCGTACAAATAACAAAATTATCAAGAATGATTGAACGCGTTTTCAAGAACAAGGGCAATAACTCATACTAATTAATTTTCGATTTATCTGATTTTCAAAAGTTTCATCTGTGTGTGACTACATACTCTCATACTTCGTCAATATCAGTCAATAATTGTGCCCTGTAGAGTGTTTGCGGACTAGAAATTATGGACATTTCATGTGGGCGTACAAAAAGACAGATCGGTGGATGAGTATGAGTGACAGCAATATACTTCCATATCCATGTGGGTGCCTAAAAAGGGTATGACAGAATAGAAATAAAGTAAAAAGTCAAGTCAAATGAAGCTGACATCAACAATCCAAAAAAAAAAAAAAAAAAAAAAAAGCTTGTAAAAACCTTACTCTGAGCTCTATTCCCAAAGAAATTAGAAAGCATAAAAAGTAAATAAACACATCGAATAATTCAAAATTGAATTCTAAAGTCATGATAGTATGAACACAATTAGACATACGAGTATTAGAAGATTATCAAGAAGTTTCATATGTACCGAAGATGCTGTTAATATCAAAAGGCCTATGAAATAATGACGTCATAAAACAATTTAAGTGAAATTGATCCACAGACGATACCGATGCTATAAGTAATGTCCCACATAAACACAAAGTTTAGAAAACCTCTTTACAATCCTTTTATCACAAGCACAAGAGTTTCAATAACACATTGGCTTTTTTGGAGCCGTAGCAACCTAACAGAGGCCTAAGAGGGAGTAATCATTGTTTTAAAAACTTCATTTGCAATTCAACAAAACATATATTTTAACCCTGATTTTAGACTATTAAACGTTTTCTTTTTTTCATAATATATCAAGTAAATCGTCTCTAACTCCTATTCAAAATAAAATATTAAACTTACATTATTTCTATAAGGCTGTTTACTACTATTGGTCATAGCCATACCATTCATTGATGAGTGGTCATGATGAGCTACATGGTCACCAGTAGGTGGCACTTTGGTATGGTAAATATGGTCTGCTGTAAGGTATGGACTAGGACCTAACCATGATAGTAATATTGGTAGATAAACTAATCCATGAAACAAACCATACCATACAACCAAGAAAAATACCTAGAATTAAATATTATATGTCGAACAAAAGTAATTGAAACATTTAACATCAAAGCTGCAGAGATATTTACCAACGCAGACTCAAACCTCTTTAGACTCTTTAGAAATATGACGGTCGTCATCATGATCATTTTCAAAGATGGCCGTTTCTGCTATTCTCTTAAATGTTTTTGTTTAAAAAAATCGATCAAGATTGTTATTTCTCAATATTATGTCACCATATGATCATATAATTTCGCATAACACTAACCTTTTTATTCAATTTCCCTTCTTTCCAGTGTTATATTGAACAGCAATGATGGGATTTAGAGTTTTGGTTCGGACTGTTTGTACTAAAGAGTTTTTATGTGAAAGAGATGAAATCGTGCATGTCAATTATAATGAAATAACAAACCTTGAAAAATGTTGAAAAGACATAACTGTTGCTACCTGCCAATAACACGAAGGCCAAAAAAGTACTAAAGCCACCATTGAATACTGGTGGTCCCATTTCACTTAGTGTTTCCTTAGCTCTTTCTGAAATATGAAACGTGTTCACGATTATTCTCAGAGTGTTAGGTGATGTGGTATAAGAGAAGATACCAGGCGATCAGTGTCGTATTTAGCAACTGTTATCCATGTTGACCCTCTTAATATAATTTTATTATTATTATTACTTACCGTCTCTGGTACCTTTAATAGTCATGAAAGTGTGTCCTATATGAGCTGAATAATCTACAGCTAGACCAATAGCTAGAATCAGTTGTATACTAGTAACAGTTTCAATTGTTAAACCCCAGAAGTGCATTGATCCACCGACATTTACCTACAAAAGACAAAGATGAATTTGTTTTACATGCAACGGTTTGGATAATCGTCATACTAAATATGTATTCAGATAAATAAAATAGGCACCTAAGCAATGGGGGGCATTTTCTTACGACAGCAAAATTGGCCTTCTCTTTTTTGGTTTTCAGCTATCGATGTGCACAGCCTGTAGCCCAAGACTATAGGCTACATAGCTTTCCAGTTAACAATCATTGACATATGTCATGTCATATCACTCACCAAAGTAAACAAAATACAAGATGATACCATTAGACATGTCCATAAATTAGCTATTAATATTAGAGTAACCACAAATACACAGGCAAAGGCTAAACCCAGGTTTCTGTACAATTCGTTCTTGATAACCTAGAAATATAAAAGTATTGGAAGTTATGATTCTAGCTCAAATAGTAGATAGTTACTCTTAGGAGGAATAGAGTCTTGGCTCTTAAAAAGCCCGTGACATCAATTTTGCAAAGTGACACACCTAATTGGTTTTCCTTTGGAGTTGGTATGTCAATAAGGAGGCACATTTACAAGTTTTCTGATATTTTGCTCACCTTATTAGTTTCCCAATTTAAAAAGGATCTAGCGTATGCAAAGCAGTCAGTATTAGGAAACCCAGCATCAGATATAACTTTTCTCAAACTGTCCATAGCAGCTATTTCAGTCGCAGAGTCTGGAAGATTCTTTAGTTTAAACTCCATCTGACTTGCCTGCAAATACAATTATGATGATAAAGAAGCTGATGAAAGATTACAGCTTATCAAAGTAACTATTTAAGTGTGTAAGGAAAAAGGCTGACACTTTTGCAGCTTCACAGCATACAGATCGAATAGATATTTCAATTAAACAGTTCAATATTCTAGATTGAATAGTTAAAACCCTTTGTAAAACTATTGAATATTTTAACCCTTGTGTTGAAATAAAAAGTCAATTATGAACTGGCTTAGAATAACTGTGTAAACCAATTCTTTTCCAAATAATTCTTGGGGCAGCAAAATAAAATAAAAATTCAGAATAAGTTCAAGGATGAAGATTTTATGAAATGTTCCTGACCAGTCACTTTAGCCTAAATGCTATCTATCTTGCATGAAAATATGAAAGAAAAGTTCACCATACCACTAAATCACCACCAGTCGTGTTAGCAAATTTCATCAATCTTTTTAAACTGCGTTGCTCAATGTTGACATATTTATATAATGTATCAACGAAAGCAGGTTCATCTACAGGGTATTTATCTACAATACAGATAGATTGAGTGTAATCTAATGAAGGAGTGCTTTTTTGCGGCCCTTTGGTTAATCACCGCCTTAAATAGCCCATATAATGTAAAACCGAAAAATAATTTCTAATGCTATGTCATGTTCAAATAAACAGATCACATTCCTCTTTCCGGATGTTTGCCTTTCACTAAAGTGGACCCTACGGTTTTTGCTATTGTGAATCTAAGGGTGCGGGCACATGAACAGTCTTGGTCTTGGACTTTTTTTCGAGGGTTAGAGTCTTGTCAAGTGTTTCACCGACCAGCTGTGGGAACATGAGACAAAAAAAAAACAGTCGATCGTTTTCCACTATGTAGATGATCACGAGCGGATCATTCAATTGAAATGAATCTTATTGGATTATGACGCTCTGTGTAAAGGACGATAAAACAGGAGAACACCAATTTCATACTCTTCTATACAGAATCAGGTATTAAAATTTATATTTTTAAAATCACTATTTGTGTAATATGTAACAACAGTTTATATATTAAGATTCAACAAGATGAACTTACTTGCATCTAAAGATGATGTATACATGGGATTGGTGGTTGTTTCTAAGAAGGAAGTATAAGTTTCAAACCAACTGTCGAAAGTACCATTAGCACCATATTCATTATTAGTCATACCCGTATAAATAAGATCCAGTTTAACTTTACTTCCAAAATAATCAATATTACCTACAAATATCATACATGAATCAAAAAGATATTATTATTTAAATCATAATTTAAATTAAGATAAAGTCACACCAAAAACATCTTCTAGTCATGATACAAATTCTTAGTGTATTTTCTCAATACATGTATTTTGCATCTTATGTCTGGTGCGAGCCATGTTGAATGAAATGAAAGAGCTGCAAACGTTTTGCGATTCCTATGACAGATTGGCATCTGTGAGATAAAGCCCGAGTAGTTCTTTCAATCTTACCACAATATATTGATCCTTTTTTCCCGTCATCTGGAAATATTTTCTCGGATTCAGTTAAATAAAGGAATGCATAAGAATTTTGAGGAATAAACCAATTGGAATCGAACTCTTGTTTTAAACTTATGACACCGTACACATTGGCTCCAAATATTGCCAGGGTTAATATGAATAGAACAATCTGGAAAAAATGGTACTTTTTAAAATTGGAGTGAGTACAAGCTTCATATGCACCCTTCTCCCAGTGTTAAAATAACATATAGGGATGTTTCGTAATATCATGAAGCTAATTTTGATTTATTGATAAATATCATTATAGAGGTTTTGTTTTTTTTTTTTTGTCACCTTTAGCTTCATTTCCAACTCGGCATTATGATACTGATATTTCAAAATATATCCTATAAATTGGAGCGCATTATCACTTTAAATGGTGGATAGATGCATAAATAAAGTTTCCAATTTTGTTTAAGAAATCTGCAGTTTTAACCGGGGGCAATACGTGTCGAAGTGCTGTTTGGGTGGCAGACTTGTTTGTCAGAAAATTTTCAGGCAGATTTTCTTTCAGAACTTAATTATTTTTGGAGCATCACTCTAAAACTCTACTTGTGTGGCTGGAAAAGTTGATATTCGGGCCCCTCCGTCTCCTACGCTTATGCTGGGGAACGAAACTCTAATAGAAGCTTTGTAGTGAACAGATTATTGTGAGCAGATTTCAAGATATTGGTGTTAAATCTTCAATTACGGGTCAAATCGATAACAAAAATCATCTACAAGGCTCCACATAGCTGGTAATAGTATTTCGAGATGGGAAAGGTAACGCAAAAAATATAAACAAAACAGTCGCTGTGGTGGTTTGTCAGATTTATAAAATTTAATATCGATACTTTTTGTCGAAATCTAAATGTGTATTTTAACCTACCTTGACTGGAAGTTTCATTAAAAATGGTGCATAATATTTCTTAAAAAATGTAATGAGTATTTCTTTCTGGCTACAGGCATTAGGAGTGTAGTCTTTATGTTTGTAGCAACAGCAACAAGCATTTCTATCATCTCCTCGTCGTTTCTGATCTAATGTTAGTGTAGCAGTGAAAAACACTAGTTGAAAAACAAAAAGACCGAGAATTCCCAGGGAGGCAAAACCACAAAATGATTTCAAGGCTGGAAGTTGCTGAAAAGAAATAGAAGTTAATAAAGTTATATGGGTCCTACATCCTACAATATTTTTAGAACTTTTTGTAAGGACAGGAGCAACATCTATATAACTACGATTACTTTCGACGTATCTTTAAAGAGAAAGTCCGACATAGAATAACTCGCTTTAAAACTTCTTAACATCCGAACAGCCTATGTCGATATAGTTCTTCAGATTTCCAGGTTAGCTAGAAATCGCAACTGATATATACAACTTTATGTAAAACACAAGAATAATGAATAAAAGGCGGACGAGTGATGTAATTAAATCAGACATACAAGAGATAAACCTCGTTTTAAAATCCTTTACTGACAAAGTACCTACCGTCGTTGCACCTATGCCAAAGGCAACAATATCTGTTAATGACGTCACAGTGACTGACAATCCAGCATGTTTTAAGACATGTCCCATCTTCTCCGGGATTTCAAGTTCGATTTCATCAGGATTCAGATTGTTCAATGCTCCCATAATAACAAACATATCATCAACACCAATACCTATACAACATAAAGATGTAGTTATGTTAGTGGCATACCTTATTTCATTTGAAGCCTTAATATAAGTTATCGTTGGTTTTACCTTCTTAAAAATCTTGAAAGTTACATTTCAGAAGGCAAACAAGATGCTACATCATCTTCTGCTTCAAAATGTAAATAATCGGTTTAGTTTTTGTAGATGGCTTGAGTCCATTTTGAAAGTAATTTGAGAAGTTCAGATATACAATAGATAGATTCCGTTTTATCTTACCTAGCAACAAGAAAGGTAGAATTGAATGGAGCGGACCATATTCTAAACCGAATGCTGAAGCTAATCCAAACGACACGGCGATGGAGAATCCAACACACAAGATACCAGAGAAGGCTAAATAAATCTGAAATGAGGAAAACAGGATATGGATCATGATAAATAAGTCAAGTTTAAGACTGTTTTTTATCCATTGGTCTGACTGGCTTTTCGAGTAATTGTATCAGGCAATCATCATCATCATCAGATCGTATCAAAGTGTACTTACTCCTTGCTCAACTTGGTTAAAACGACCCAAAACAATTGCTACATAGACAATCAAGACAAAGTATCCTGCAGATAAGAACGCTACATCTCCAGATATAGCTCCACCGGCTTCATCACCAAAACTATAGTAAAAACATTGTATGATTAATTGGCGATCAAATAATATAATATTTTGGATCAAAAAAAAGACAGGTATACTTATGGAAAAAAAATAAAATGTGAAAACCTTGCAGGTTATGGCGTGGGATGTAGGTAATTAGGTCACAGGTAAATCGGTCACCGGAAATTTGGTCACAGTAAAAAGGTCACACGGTAATTTGGTCACAGTAATAAGGTCACACGGTAATTTGGTCACAGTAAAAAGGTCACACGGTAATTTGGTCACAGTAAAAAAGTCACTCGGTAATTTGGTCACAGTAATACGGTCACATGGTAATTTGGTCACAGTAATAAGGTCACACGGTAATTCGGTCACAGTAAAAGGGTCACACGGTAATTTGGTCACAGTAAAAAGGTCACATGGTATTTTGGTCACAGTAAAAAGGTCACACGGTAATTTGGTCACAGTAAAAAGGTCACACGGTAATTTGGTCACAGTAAAAAAGTCACTCGGTAATTTGGTCACAGTAATACTGTCACACAGTAATTTGGTCACAGTAAAATTACCCATTTTAGGTGGTGTTGGTCATCTTATTCACATCAACCGCTTGTAGTTGATAACTAGATTCAATAAATGGTGGAGGACGGGCAATGTCACAACTTAAGTAGGTTCGTGACTTTGACCTTGACCTCCAATGACTTTAAAAGTCATAGTGTTCGTCTCTTCGTCCCATGGGGGTTCTTTGGACTAATTGCTATGTCCAGATGCGGTGTCATGAATCCTCCGACACAGTCCGACAAGACATTTGAGACTTGATATTCGCAAATTGAAAAGCACGTTTTCATCAAACAGGCTGCAATCTTGACTACGTTTTCGAATTTACCACTGAATGTGGAATTCATATTTCCGCAGAATTGTATTTCTGGTCCTCAAATCGATCAAGTGGCGTTTGAGACTGAAATAATAAACGATTAGGCCTATGTGACCTAAATTTATAGTGGCATTGTCTCGATTGTTTAATGAACTAGTCTTTAGATCAATTTGCCTACCAAGCCTTTTCAATCTTGAAAGGTGCTACCAAGCCGTTTCAATCTTGAAAGACCTTGCAATGATATAAAAATCGAAAAGAATCTGCTTTGAAACGCTCACGTTATTGGTACAGGCACGGAAATTTATGAGTAGTGGAGATTATATATAAAATACATATTAAATCAACTTCATTGCTGAAGTCAATACTGGATGATTTCACAGGCTGCATTCAGTGAGTGAGAATTCTGTAATTTGGAATGGAGAGAGTCGGCAAAAGTTAAACGGTGGTATGGCTTGCAAGCTTAAAAGGCAGACCGGTGGCGGGTTGTATCAGCAATAACTATATAGCTGCAGATTGACAGGTATACCAAATACTGTTCGACCGTTCAGGGCCCCACAAGGCCCATCCATCTCTGGTAGAGGGCAAGCAGAACACTATATTATGTATTATGAAATAAATATCACTACACCAGTTACCAGTAATTTCATTTTACTAGTTTTGCCTTGACCAGATCACTGTGTGACCAAATTACCGTGTGACGGTATTACTGTGACCAAATTACCATGTGGCCCTTTCACTGTGACCAAATTACCGTGTGACCTTTTTACTGTGACCAAATTACCGTGTGACTTTTTTACTGTGACCAAATTACCGTGTGACTTTTTTAATGTGACCAAATTACCGTGTGACCGTATTACTGTGACCAAATTACCATGTGACCCTTTTACTGTGACCAAATTACCGTGTGACCTTTTTACTGTGACCAAATTACCGTGTGACCTTATTACTGTGACCAAATTACCGTGTGACCTTTTTACTGTGACCAAATTACCATGTGACCTTATTACTGTGACCAAATTACCGTGTGACCTTTTTACTGTGACCAAAGTGTCGGTGACCGAATTTCTTGTGACCTAATTACCTCGCCCCATGGCGTGAACGCAGTTCCATAAAGAATCACACAGATTTTGAGGTATAGAAAGCCAATTGTGTACTTTTATTAGACGTTTGTCTAATTCTATAATGATTCATGGGTATATTGATGCTTTCTTTCATTCAACTTACCTTCTGGTTGCAAAATAATTGATTGTCAGTGCAGTTTCTTTTTCAGCAAGAGCTAAAAATTTAGATTCCCATTCTGCACTTTTCAGTTTTATCTGAAGTAAGAAATTGTTCACGATACTGCATTTTCAAATAAGATATTTAGTACAAAAGTCTGTAGTCCACTTTTTAAGACCTGCTTTAAAGTTAACATTCACGACATTGGTTCTGAAACAACTGTTTATTATGATATGTCAGCTAGTAATTCATCTATTAATTTCATGTGTGTGAAGAAAAATTTGTTCATTTTACACCTACTTTAAAACAATAGCGTTGAATGAATAACTTCATCTAGTCCAAGTACAAAAACACAATCTACTGGATTTAAGAAATAGTAAGATCTACATTTGGTGGAATCTTTGGTAATCAAAGTATAATTACCGTATCATTGCCATTTAATAACCATGTCATCTTAGTACCAGTCGATCCTATTATACTACCAGTACTATTTTTACTTATTTCACCTAATGCTGTGGAAACATCATAAGCTCTTCCTGACATTGGACTGAAAAAAGGACTTCAGTGTATTTTACGTAATAAACATTCTAAAATAGACGCGAAATGGTTTTGGTTCACAAAAGTGACATCGGGTTAAATACGGATACATTCGTCGCGATTATGCTGTGTTACATTATGACCATCTTATAAAGCGCGTATATGAGCAGAGAGCATTTAAAATAACATTATTAGCCATGGCATTTGCTATTGGCTTTACGTGGTACACTTTATAAATTATTTGTTGATTAAGATCTTTTACAGTGACATCAAACATACTTTATGGTAGCTGTATTTATCTCGTTTAAAATGTCCGCTTGTGTTAAACTTCTTATTATAGTACCATTATAGCTCCATAATTCTAGTATATTACTTACAGAACACGAGGCACCAACACTATCATGTAAAAAATAAACAGTCACATTGAAATAAAAAAAAATCTCATCGATAGCAACTGATTACTGTTTCTTGTTCTCCATGTTTTCCGATTTTGTTTATGCAATTCATAGCATGTGAGGTACTAAATCAAGCTGCCCCACTAGACCAGCTTCAAACTTCAAGGGTTGATGTGAGAATAGGTCAAAATTATTCCTAGTTGAAGTGAAATGTCATCATATTTCGTAGAGCTCGCGTGAAAATTTGTATGTCGATAAGACGGGACATTACAATTTATAATCAAAACAACGTTTGCTTCGTTCTAAAAACGTTAAAGATCCTTGCACTTCTGGAAATCGAAAAAGCTTAGGAGAGTACTTATACTCTGACAACATTTCTCTCAAACTGTGTATAGTGTGTCTGAAAGCTCAATGAGATGCAAAACCTTAGGAGGAAAGATTCTACTTCATTTCAATATTTATATATCAAAATAAAAGTAAATGACTTACGCGATACAAACATCAGACAGTTCGTCACCAGAATCTGTTTGTAGATTTTCAGCTTTCTCATAAAAATCAAGCATCTGAAAAAAAATCAAACTTAATATCTAACTGAACATTGTCTAATTATAATAAGCTGTATATCACTCAATATATTTAAAGGATTGATTAAAATGCTGTTGGTGGTGTGCTTGGCACTGATCACAGGGGAAATCGAGTGGCAACATACAGTTGGTAAAGTAATTCAAATAGTACCTTGGATAAAATTTACTATCCTGTATTAAATATAGGCCTGTGTAGGCCTATTTCTCTAGAAATAAGCTATAATTTATATAGCTTACCTTTCCAAATATTGATGGATCCAAAATATTAGGCGCTTTCACCATGATAACTGCAAATCTGGTAGAGCTAGGATACCACTCTTCTACTAGTTCTAAATTCATGATAACTTCGGAGTCACTTGCTGCCCATAATTTATTCGTTTCTGTAGTCTCTTTAAATGCTAATGCTATACCAATACCACACAAACCAGCAATTATTATACATCCTATCATGTATTTTATAGGATGTGTACCTATACTTTTTCCTAATCTGAAAGTGGTAATTTTGAATATTATCATATAGTCGGAAATATAGGTTAAAAAGGTGTTCACCTCTTTTAGTAAAACGTTTTTATTATCAAAAACGTCGTAAATATTACATGAAAATATTTCTAAAGTATGCTACTTATATCTTTGTATCTTTTGATCTTTTTGAACTGAATTTGTTTTTAAAGGGTTAATCAAAAACGGAGAGTACTAATTGTTAATTACGTAATGTTTTTGACTTTAAAAATTAATACGTTAACGTAAATGGGCACATTTCTCTAGATTTTGGAGTATATTTTTTACAAATTTAAGCAAAAAAAAAAAAAACTTTTCAACTGACAAGAAAAGGAGAATATCCCCTTAACATAGAGGCTATTGTAGTATTGATGAATAATATCAAAATACAGTTTTTGGCATAAGTTTTTAATCAAAGACTGTTAAGACATGTCCATGAAAAGAAATTAGTATTATCTCGTAGCTCGTTCAGGATGATATCCTAATTTGGAGGATTTTGCTACAAAATGCATCACTTGTGTATTTTGAGTAGTTATTTTTCTAAGCCAAACACCCTAACTTACATCCTGATTAAAGAAAAGATGTTTTTAACGACAACTTACTTGTAAAATACTGATTCTAATGAGCTGATTATAGCGTTACTGAACCTCTGTAGTATTCCAGGTTTTTCTTGAGGTGTTGTTGATTCAGTGGGAGCAACTCTGGTTGTACTAGGTTTCTTTTTAGGAGATCCATTTAAAGATGACTTACTCCACTGTTTTGTTGGGGATTCGTTCCTCACAGGTGACACGTTCCGTGAAGAACCATTCATGTATGGTCCACCATTTCTAGTCGGAGAACCAAAGCCGTTTCTTGAGTTATTACTGTAACTTCCTCTCGGAACTGGACTTGTGTATGGTCCACCATTCTGGTAATTGGCTCTGGTGGGTGATCCACTCATAGCTTGAACTGTAATCAAAGTGGTGAACTAACTGAAAGTAGTAATAAATATAACATACAGTTCTAACAAATTACGAAATGAACACTTATAACACCACAATATACGTCATAGTACAATACAAGAATAGTGTTAATATACAATTTTACATGATAATAGAATTAAAGGTCAGTCACGTGTTAACAAAAAAAACCTGAGGTCATTGTCTTCATACATGGTTTTTCTGCCAAATACAAATACTCAATTACTTAATTCATTAACGGAACGATAAATATACGAATATGTAATGAGTAAAGTGTACAAATCTTTGAACACCTTTATTCATATTACATTAAGAGGGGTAACTAAAACGCGTCCTCTATTTGCAATTTTGACAAGTTTGAAGTAAAAGTCGTGCATCTGTAGAAGTGAAGACTATCTTCTTCGACCCCTAATTCCTCAAAGATTTATGCAAATTTCTTTAGGAAAACTTAAAAGTTACAAAAAAGCAAAACAATTTTCATTTTATTATAACCTAAAAAAACATTTCGCTCACTCCTCATGTAAGCTTTTATCATGTGACGGTTATTTGAATTGTAGACATAAAGGGTTGAGCTGTCTTTGTTAACAACTTTGAAACTATAGTCATTCGTGAACAATTATTGCTAACTATTTATTATTCATTATATTCTTCGGGTCAATTTCTGGGACTTTATGGCTTGAGTTTACTGGGTGTCTTTGTGTATTTCAGCACATAAAAATAGTAGAAATCTGAGTATCAATAGAAGTGTTTAAATTTCGATGATCATTGACTGTATGACTGGCTACAGTCCGCCACAGTGGGCCCACATTTTTAGTTGAGATAAATTTCAATAAATTCTTTGGACTTGTAGCTTACTCAAGTTCAAGGCTGATTAGTTGAAAGAAAAACAAAACAAAACGAACACATCAATAGCTCATTATCAGAAGTAGGCTAACGAACTGGCATTAGGCTATAGTAAAGATGTTTAGAGAAGAAATTTAATAAATGTATGTAAATATTTTGGCTCAAGTTGGATTCGTATTGATTAATTATTATAGTCAACATAATGGGCATTGTTCATGATTGATCAAAGCAAATATGGTATTGAACTTATAGGGAATATACCGGGATAACTATATTTCGGTCGGCTAAGGAATAAACAATAATAATAAGCGAATCCATCTTCCATCGATAAACATTACAAAACTTGGATTTAATTATTCTAATGTTTTCATTTCAGTGGGAGGCTTTCTATTATTGTATAGGAGTGTACAAAATCGATATGCGCTTAACCCTTCTCAACATGTTCAAAAGTAACTTTGGCATAGGGCGGCGACATTTCCCCTTGGCATATCGGGATTCCATTTAACTAAGTCTGTTTATCAGATTTTGTATTAACTGTTTAAGTACTAATCTTGATATTGGTATAAATGGGATTGTCATAATATTAACAGATTATCGATTAGCAGTTATGTAGAAACCAATGGAGGTCAAAGTGCGATTTCTGGGACGAAGAAAATGATTACCGTGAATAGTATTTATTATATGCGCAATAGGTTCAATTAATATCAGGTAGGAACTTTCCTATAGAGCGGTCAGTGCTTCAATGAATCGAACCGGTGACGGAGGTTAACTATATCACACATACAAACCCTTTCCTCTTCAGGGCGGTTCTATTATAGAGTCTAGAAGAAGTACTTGTGATCTAAAGTAAACGTAGTGATTATCCACATTATATAATATTATATAATACATAATATGTAGTCTTTCATTTGACAAAATTTGAATATTAAGAATGGTGGGGTTGACGTAAAAATAAACTGATTGAAGATTAACAATTATCAATCGATCAATTTATAATAGACGTCAAAGGTCGTTAAGTAGGACTCTTTTGAAATCAATACCGGCCTTGAATTTGTGTCATAACACGACTCATGTTTATCAGTGAACCTTTAGAACTACCATAGCATTAGCAGTATTCAATTTCTCTAACAGGACCCTTAACTATAGCCCGTGTTAACTCTTGTGTCATCTAAGAAGTACATGTTTGCCTTTGAAGTATAGAACATAGACCTAAAGGCAACTATGATCTTGATTATTGATAAAAGGCTGGTGTATGCCTTTAAATTGACTATCTTTAGGCTAAGATTTAACCAGGGGTCATCTAATCGTGGGAGTTTCTTGTTGATAACACAAACTGTAACTGTCTTTAAATCACTGATAACCATACGTAATATTGAATACCCGCGATAAAATACAGGCCTAATACTATGACTAGAATTCGCACGTAATGGTGTTTATGTGATTTTATGTCCGTTTAAAGATCATTCCGTTTCAGGAGTGTTAGGAGCTTTGTATTCACCCATTTTCCTCATCCCCCGTCACTAAGTCGACTCCCTTATTTTCACAAAATGCAAATTTACGCAAGTGTATAGTCACCGCATACCACCATCAGTCCATAACTAATTATCCCCCTCCCAAAAGACAAACCATAAGCTTAGATACCAGCCTAATAAAGAAAATATCATACCTTCTAAACAGTGTTTATTAGTAAATCATGCCACAGCTCCAGTGTTCAATAACATTCACATGCCTCGTAACGTTAGACCTATATAATATTAAGAGATCAATAAGCCGGTGGTAAATGAGGTGTATTCTAATCGTCCGGGATTTCTACAGTGATATATTATACAGGTATAACTAAGAGAAAAGGTATATAATCTCAAATAAAAGTCATTGTTTACCTTACATAACGTTTTTATTTACACCGGATATAGACTACTTCAAAGCAAATGATTCTGCGCGTTAAAACCACTTCCCTTAAAATCAATATACTTCCAAAGCAATTATCATGATTATTTTAATAATAGATCACAGATATACACACTATATTTAAGTGAAAAGCCGAAAAATTTTGACGTTGTTTGATGTAATTTCCGAACCGGTATTCGTTTTCTACACAAAATAA